CTACGAGAATGGCTGCATGTGGTGCCAGTGTCCCACCATTTCGAGTGATCATGTGTTATGCCTATCATAGAGGTTAGTACTTCTTCCCCTTACAGTTTGGGTGGGTCGGGATAGAGCGAATCGAACTCGATCCCAATCATGTCGTTTTGGTAGGCTCCCTATATGTAACAAAGGTCCGTGAAAAAAAAACAAGGGAAGTAAAAGAGTTAGTATGTTATATTTACGAGCTGATTAAACTATTTACCTGTAAAGCCCATGACATGTAGTTGATATAGAAAACGGGATATGTCCAAAATATCTTAGGAAGTTCGGGAAGGAGCCGGAAGAAACCTGCTGTAGCCATCATTATACCCTGCATTAACATGTAACGGTTAGTTTAGAGAGAGAGAGAGAGAGAGAGAGAGAGAGAGAGAGAGAGAGAGAGAGAGAGAGACATTATACCCTGCATTAACATGTAACGGTTAGTTGAGAGAGAGAGAGAGAGAGAGAGAGAGAGAGAGAGAGAGAGAGAGAATAAGGAAAAAAAAAAGGAAAGAGGACTTACGATTAGACCAGCTCCGAGTATGACCCCCATCATGAAGTGTCGAGCTCTGCATACACGAAATGAAATATTCCAGGGTGAAACTTCACCATGAAATAAGTGATGGATGCTGAACTAAGCGATATTGCAATCAAGAACGGAAACGAAGAGAGGAAATTCGAAAGAATGAACACTCCGACTCCGTAATGTCCGTTGAGCCTTTCCTTGTAAAATACCTGTTTATTAGAAACAGAGAAAAAAAAATTATATGCTTCTTCTCCGAAGATGATATTATTTGAATGGTAAGTGGGACCGTTTTTTTTTTTTTACCTTCATTTCTTCGATGAATGATGGGAAGCCTCCGATTGTCATGAATGTCATAAAGCCAGATATAAATCCACCGCAGGCTCCCCTTGCTAGAATTGCGTGATAATTGGATCCTACGTTGTGAAAAACGGAACCGACACAGATGGATACTGTAATGAACACTATGATTCTTAGCCAGTAATACCCAAAATCTCGGGACATGTTTGTGAACGATCGCTTTGTGAGTGTGGAAAGTTGCTTAAACCATGTCGCTTGGCTTTCTCTGGTTTTCTCGAAAACAGGTACGTCCTGAAATATTTTCTCTCTCTCTATCAGATCGAGTTTTTTTGAAAATTTGCACCCCTTATTTGCCGTGTCTGTGTGTGTGATAATGGTCAAAATCATTCGCTTATTAAAACTGAAATGACATTTAACACAAAAAAAATATTTGATTTTGTCTGGCTATTGCATGAGTTTACCGGATTTATTCATGGCCGCGGAAATAATATACATATTATTTATACTAATTAGTTGTTATAATAATAGACATTTGTATTTTGTGTATATCATTAAAAAAAATTAATATTTAGAAAATAATGAATTAAAATAATTATGTAAAGTAATATCTCTTTGGTAGAGAAGGGTTAGAAGTAAATACAAATGTTAATCTCTAGGGAAGTAAAAACAAAGAAGAGAGTAAAAAGAAAATAGAAAAAAACAAATATTGATTATGTTTATCTTCATCACTTCATATCCTTACTTATCTTTGGTTTAATGCTACATCTGATTATATACATCAGAACAAACATTTTCTTTTAAATAAAAACGTGTATAAATAAATATTACTAGACGAATACACCGAGTGCAGCATAGAATAAACTTCACCATCTTCTTTCATTAAAAACTATATATGCTCCACATTTCTTACCTTGAAGAGAAGATTTTTTACTATGTAATATTCTTGATGGCATTAATTACCAATAATTAAAAAATTAAGGAAAATTCCCATATTAATTAATTTTTAGACAAATAAAATCCCAAACCTACATTGTTTTCCTAAAGAAAAAGATCCCAGTGTTGTAATATCTTTATCTACACAAATAATATTGTAGGAAAATTCAAAGCCACATTCGAAGAGATGTTTATGTATTAAAACTGCAGATAATATAAATATATATTAAATAAATAAAATTTAAATACTTTCTATCTCCTTCCATCTCTTCCCCCTTCACTGCTCAATCTTTTTAACATTACACACACAGTGAAGAACAGTAAGAATTATTATCTTTTTGATATTATTAATTTATTTTTATTTTATTTTTTTGGTCAGAAAGAAATAAAGAAGAATCTTATACTTACATGCAGTCATGAATGAATGATGTTTGATACAAGTTGATGATTATTATTTATCTGCAATTTTATTTAATCCTCCATTTTTAGCATCTTTTGATTTATTTATTTAATCCCATAAGAATTATTAAATTTTTGGATATTATTATTAATTTTTTTTCAGATGAAACGAAGCTCGTGTATCGTGTTGCGTCCGGTTTGTTTTCTCATGGCGCTGGTATGTGTTTAATTCAATTTTGTTTTTTTTTTTAAAGAAAGTGCAAATGTTTAACTTTAATCATTTAAAAAATTTATATGAATTGCTAATTTTGCTTGCTGCAGGTACTTATGGTGCTTTCTCTATCTGGTTTACTGATCCCATTATGGATCATTAGGGTTACTAAAATCGAGAACGAAGTAAAAGTTACCGCCAAAAAAACGAATCAGGAATTAATTTCCGGTATTCGAAAAACCGCCACGTTGTTTTCTCCTATTAATGCATCAGCCATCAACTTAGTTCGAGTATTAACCTCGTCTCTCGAGGAGCACGATTTCCAATTTTCCGAAATTGAGTCGAAGGTAAGTAATTAAGTGGCGCGAATTTGGCTTCGAGAACTTATTTAATTTTTCGGGATCTATTTTTTTATTGATCATTTAATTCAGGTTGCTTCGACTCTGTTTCAAGCGTTATCCACAGTACCGTATCTATCGCAGATTTCTTACATTGGATTAGACGGCCTATTCTTCGCTTACTATACTCAAGAAAATCAAATTTACGCAATGTACTCAAATTCGACATTTTCCGATGCGAAGAACTACTCGTGGTACATCCAATCGGTGAATCGTGACAGTGGAAAACTATACGGTGAAGCAATTAAGTCACCTCCGTTTGATGTAGTAAACTCGACCTATTTTCAAGAAGCGTCGAGTAATAAAAACGGATACGCCTCGGTCGGTACTTCATGGGGAGATACTCAGAATATTCTTCTGCTTAGTACCGTAAGTATATACGGAAAAGGGGTCGTTTCTTTAGGATATCCAATGCAATCACTAATCGATTTCTTGATTAATGAGATAAGATTTTACGATGGGAGCTTTTATTTGGCTTCTAAAAGGGATGGGAGTGTTCTAGCTCAAGGGATTCCAAACACTTGTATGATCTTAGCTGGCGATCGAGTGGCGTTTCAGTTATTAAGGGAAGATGATTATGGAGTTAGTGAAGTCGGAAATCTCACGTGCCAATCAAATGATGACAGCACATCAAGAAACTATGTTGTGAGCTTTTCGGGTAAAGAGTATGTGATAATTGTTTGGAGTTTGAG